GATAGTATAACAGGTGTTGAATGATGGGTCATTTATCTAATACTGTTAAGAATTATCACTGTTTCTTTAAATCTAGAAGCTAACTTCATTTTAGTGAAATAACACCAAGACTTCAATCGATATTTTAACTCGAGTTTATTATTTATTTATTTGCTTTTTTTTTAAAAAAAAATTATTCAAAGTTATAAAAAATAATTTTTAAAAAAATATTTTTTTAAAGTTATTTATGATAACATTGACAGAAATAGCAAAATAATAATAACCAGGCAATTATTCAATCAGTAACAATAAAACTACAAATAGTTTTCACTTGTAACAAATGAATAAGCTAATTAGACAAGTGCTTTAATGATCAATTAACTTCAAAAGATAAACATTTTCATTTAAAATGTTTTCATTACAGCTATTTTCATCAAACTATTTCGGAAATTATACTGTGTATTATTTTTTTCTTTTTTATTCAAAAGAATTCAGAAACAAAAAAATACAGCTAACAAAAATAATTTCAAAAAATTGAAATGAAATGGATTTCATTTTTAAGAACAAAAAAAAAAAGAAAAGTTACAGAAATTTTCAAAATAACCTATACTCTTAACACTAAATTACTTTCGAAAAATTTGTCCATTGTCCATCTATTGGTCATATCATCTACTGAACTAATTGGATAAAAAATTTTTTTGAAACTGAAACAAAATTTTAAGGGTAGAATTTACTAAAACTTAAATGCTCTTTCAATCGATGAAAAATAAATGCTACGAACAGTTTATCATCCATCTTTTTTTTTTTTAAAAAAATGTAAATACTATAAGTGCAAACTTTAAATAATATCTTTTAACTTTTAACAAGAAATCAATAAGTTGCTCTAAATCAATATTCATCTAAATCTAAAAGCTAATCTTCCATTTTTTGCTAATTATATTTTATTAAAAGAAACAAAATCAACAGATTTGCTAATTTATTAACTGAATTTCTCTCAAAAAAGCAAGTACATTTTAATTTTTTTTGAGTATTATTGAAAGTACTTCACTTTTTTTTTTTTAGTGATTATGGTGTAAAATTATCTTTTCAAAAAATGAAAAGAAGCATTGATATTTTTATGAAAATTATTGAAGTGTGTAGGAAGAGAAGATTTGAAAAAATTGAAGTAAAGAATAAAAGAAAGTTGCAATATGTAATAATTAATAATATGAAATAATTTGAAAAGTAAAGTTATCATAAGAAGTATAAATGAATTTCCTTTATTTCGTAAATAATTTTAAACAATTTGCTAATGACATTTAGAATTTCGATTTACATTGTAAAATATTATCGGATTTAAAAAGAAAAAAAAAATATTTATAATATAATCAAAGTGAAGCACTAAGAACATCGGTTAAGGTTAGTAACTCAGTTGTTATAAGCCAAGAGGAAGGCATGGCCATAAGATGTTTGTGACAAGTAGTCCCATACTAGGTATACCCCTTGATTAGACTATCAAAAACCGATTGAAAGATAAGCAGGCGAACAAACACAAATAATAAAAGGAGCAGAAAGGCATGAACATCCGAGTGGATACCTGCCTATAAGCCTAGCATATAGACAGCCAGATAAAGCAACACTTGGACTTGGCTACATGGCAAGTGGTTAGTGAAGAGGATGGGTAGAGTTGAGAAGGTAGGTAGATGCTGATGTGATGAATTAATGAAAGCCTTACAAATTAACTGTCCCAAAGGGAGAATTCAACGCAATTGCTTCTGGACAAGGTGGTCAAGAGGGAGAGTTAAGAGTATGATTTACAATGGAATTGGCATTCCTTCCGCTTTACTTACTTACTTACTTACTTATTATGCCTAGACCGAAATAATATAGGAAACCATGGTAACAATAGGAGACTAATAACTGCTGAAAGTTACCATGGAAAAACTGGTCTTGGTTTATATTTGAAAAGATGAAATATATACCTGAATAAGGTAATAATCATAGGGCATACTTATACTTAGTCCATAATCAAACTTTATGAAATTTCACTTTCATTAAGTCACTATCTATTATTACTATTAGAAAAATAAAAAATGTTGGACATTCCTTAGTATAAGAAATAGTAGTAAAAATGAAAAAAGTGAAGAGCAATTGAATGATTTACTTATTAAACTTGAAAATTTCAATCATTTCAGCACAATTATACATATATGAAATTTACATTCACCTAAATCATTTTTATCTAATTTTTATCTTTCTCCTCTCTCTCTCTCTCTCTCTCTTTCTCTCTTTCTTTTGAATATAAGTCAATCAAACTAACAAACTTAATTTTATCTAACTTCACACTAACGAACGGTTTACTATTTCTTTTGAAATTCTCTCGAAGAGAAATTTTTCCACGTGCAGAAAGAATACTACGAAAGATATGGAAAAAAGAAAGAGAGAAAAAAAAAATTACTATTTGAAATTTAATTCCTTCTTTCTAATATATCTAAAAAAAAAAAAAAACAAATTCAAATACTAATAATTGTTACCATTGATAGTATATATTTAATAAAATAAAAGATGAAAAGAAAAAACTCAATTTCATGAGAAATTTTTAATTGTTAGAAGAATTAGCAATGTGAAAAATAAATACAAAAAGAAAAAAAAAAAGTTATATCATATTCAAAAGGATTGCATTTTAAGAAAAATAACAAACCATGAAATAAGCTCAAATTATTGCATTTCTTGAAATACGGAAAATGTACGCATGCCGAATTTCCTTTTCTTAAAAGGAAAAAAAAATTCTTTTTTTATTAATTGCTTATTTGAAAATGGAAAAAGAAAATGAAAATGTTATGAAGCATGAAATGATATACTGCAGAAGAAACATATAGAGAATGAAAATAAGTTTAGTGATAATAATAATAATAATAATAATAATAATAATAATAATAATAATAATAATAATAATAATAATAATAATAATAATAATAATAATAAGCCTCCCTAATTGATGGGTATAAAATTAAACGGTTAGATTTAGAAGTTATAAATTGAAAAGGAGATAATAGAATATACTAACAAAAACAAAGTGCTTCATTATCATAATGATAGAGTTTACAAAGATAAAGGGAGAAAGAGCAATGATAATAGAAAATTAGCACAACGGTTTCTTTCTTTCTTTTTTTTTTTTTTGTAATAAAATGTTTAGCGATAAAATTTCAAAAAAATAAAATTTTCATTGGAAATATTTTAAAGAAGAAGAGAGTTATACAGACAATATATTATAAATGTGATGTGATAAGGTATAGAATGAAGTATTTCAAGAATATTTCAAAACTAAAAAAAAAAGGAAGGAAGGAAGGAAAAAAAGAATTTGCGGAAATCATTTTGATAAGCAGTTGAAATGTAAAAACTTAGTGGCAGAATTTTTTAGAATTCAATTTCATTTTTGAATTTAAGGTACTTTTTCATTCGTTTAGAACGAGACTCTCTAGTTTGCTATTACACAGTTAGAGTTATATTTCATTTCAAAACTATGTTTCAAGCAAATGGAGAAAAACAGAACTAAATTTGAGAAGTATAAATAACAAAAATGCAAAAAATGAAATCTAATAATTGCATCCGTAAAAGTTAAAAGTATATTTAGCACTAAAAGCAACAGAAAAAAAAAAGCCTAAAACAAAAATCAATAAACTAATATTAATATATGATTATATGAAATAATGAAATTTTAATTTATAGTAACAAGAGAAGAAATAAAATGATTAATTAGTTGAAATACACTTCTGAAAAAAGAACAAAAAAAAGTAAAAAGATCTCTTCAAATAACTTTACAATTCTATGATAAAATCTAAAAAAAAAAGAATTTAAATTTAAAAAAAAAAAAAAAAGAAGGAGAAATGGTGAAAAATATGAGATAATCGGTTGAGAAAGAAAGAATATATTATATTTCATAGTAACTCTTTTATATATTTGAAAAAAAAAAAAACTCTTTTTTTCTCCAAAGTTATTGTTAGAAGTGGTCGAATAGAATCATTCATTTCATCACGGTGAATTCATGCGTAATATAATTTTGAGTCAAATATATATTTCGTTTCTTTCTTTCTTTTTTTTTTTAATAATTTATCTTTTTTTTTTTTTTGTTAAAGAAAGATAACAAATGAACAATTATAGATACAAGAAAAACATTTCTATCTTTCTTTTCGTTTTTTTTCTTTTTTTTTTTTTTTGTAAAATCAGAACTATTGATCTATTTAGATCATACTAGTCTATTAGATCATAATTAGAAACTATTAATCTATTCGATCATAATTAGAAACTATTAATCTATTAAATCATGATTAAGAATCAATAGTCTATTAGGTATGATTAGGTTTACTCTCTGAGAATACGAACAATTATTTGTTAATTCTTGCTATATGAGTGGAATGATATATGATAAGGATGAAATTTAACCTATTTCATACTTATAAATATTATCTTCACTTCTGATCACTAATATTAGTTAATGATTAATGATTTAATATTTTAAAAATAAAAGTATATTAGGATAGAAAAATAAGATAGAAACGAAAAGGCAAGTATTAAATTTAAGCAACCAATTAACTAGCTAATACTGGAAGATTAGATCTAAGCTCTTGCTATTTATGACAGAAAAGAATCAATTGTTGCATTTTAGTTAATAAAATTTTCAAATATGATAGCGGTAACATCGATTTTAAGATTTTATTGAAAATTTTAAATTTAGAAAGGCAATAAAATTAGATTTAAAAGAAATTAGCAATCCAGAAAGTTCCTAAAAAAATAGAAAAATATGACAGACATAAATGAAAGCATCGTATTGTTTATTTCCATTACTAATTTAAAGAATAAATTGCCAAATTTTCCAGTCCAAGATGAAACAGCTAACAACCGATGTGGTACCACACCAAAGTTTCAACTTTTCAGGTCATTCTCGGATAAATGAGACAAATCAGTGAAGACATACTAATAATCAAATAAAAAGCAAAAAAAAAAAAAAAAAAGAAGATAGTGCCAAATAGAGTGCTTGCTAATTAGTAAACAAGCATACTTACATTTTGCATCCGTGAGGTACGTCGCGGATGATGTGACCGATAACTGCTCACAGCATTGGCGACACTGCCACCACCACAACGGATTTGTAAAGACGAAGAAACAGATAGGGCTGCTGGTGGCGCAAATGTTAACGGCGGTATAGCGCCACTGTTCAACGATAATGTTGTATCGTCGCATATTTCGTCGTGACCAAAAACTGCTGTTTTCATGACGATAACGCCATGCGGATATCCTATTTATTCAGGTAATCACCGAATTTTAATAGTAAATGGTAGCAGTGACAGTAGTTGGTATCAGAATTTATTAGGTGTAAATAATGAAATAATTTGACGTCGTTTGAAATTCGAATAAAATTTTCAATTAAATTCTATTCCGATGTTAAATTTACTTATCAAACATCATCAGTAGTGTAGTAAGCTAATCTGATGTGTTTTTAGATAATTTGAATTAAATTTCAGTAATAATATCGTTAAGAAAATTATAAAATATTATTCAAATTAGATCTTTTCAATGGAATGTTAGCTCTATACTCATATATATATAGATATGATAATGAAAGTTAATCTAAGTTACATCAAGAATACATGTAACAGTGACAGAATATACTAGCAGTAATAAAATATTATCAATAAATATAGTAGAAATAGAAAGAATAGTAATAGTGCTTTTAGTGAAATAATTAATTTGTTGTAAAGAAAATAAAAAAATTTCGCATTCAAAATTTTTTACAGTTATTTGCAACATTATACATAATTTTTACTTTTTTTGATACTTTTATTAATTCTCTTTCTTCTTCTTTTTTCAATGTTTGCTGTTTTTATTAGCTTATAAAAACTTTTTTTGTCATGCAAATTTTTTTGTTATTCCATTAATTGTGCTTATTGATTAATAGAATTATTTTTCATTCAATGATAGTTTTATGTTAATTTTGCTATCAGAAAATAAAAATGATAATACTAATAGTAGCGATAATTGTAATTGCAGTGATAGTAATAGTGATAATACTGATAGCAATGATAGCACTCGTTTATATAATGATTAATTAGACCGAATTAGAGGTATCATCAAGACTTATATCATTAGATCGATGATGATCAATAATAGCATTACATTTTTATTATTATGAAGATAAATGAAACTGCCGAATATTTCCATTTCTGTTTGGTATAGATTTGTCTTCTTTCGCTTCTTTGAAGATAACTTTCTGCGCTTTTATGTTGTAGACTTATCTGTGAAATAAAATATGCTATTATAATAAGCGAATTGTTGATACAATAATTGGACGCATTAATAAATGGAGAAATTTGTATGAAAGAATAGAAATGAAGAAATAATCTTAAAAAAAAAAATATAAAAATAATATAATAATCTTCCTAAAATCCTTAGAATAAACTGGCAGGAAGAATAATAAAAGATATGGCAAATTTAGAGAATTATTATAACACTTTTTTCCCTTATTTTTATCGTTGCTAGATTTTGTCTTTAAGAAACTAAATAATTAGTCATTTAAAAAGGTCAAATTATTATTATATTTCTAATTTCTATCTAAAAAATAGATGCAAAAATTTGTTTAAAAAACTAATATAATTGTTGATTATTAGCAAAATAATTAGGTAAGCAACGTTAGCACAATTCGATTATACTTTTCATTAGTAAAGTATCGCAAGAATAAAAAGGAAAGAATTTATCGCTGCTTAACTTCAAAATTAAAACTTGTAGAATTCTTCTTGAGAATTTTTAGTAAGAAAAAGAAAAGTTAAAATTTTTTACATATATTCGTCTACCTACTGAAAACATTTACCTACTTTATTGGAGGACAGTTATGAAAATGAAAATTAGTTATGAAACTACCTGGCGAATGGAATGAAAAATAAGTAAACTGTGAAATTCCATTCCGCTTCCGTTGCATTTTAGCTAACCCTCTCCTCTTTTTTTTTTTCTTTTTAAATATAACATTAAATATATGAGAAAAAGAGGAAAGGCTATTTTACTTAAGCTTTTAGCACTTTTATTCAATCCATCATCACATCATTTTTCAATCTATTTACGGTGAGAAATTAAATGCAAAATGAAATTCAGAATTTAAAAATGTAGGTAAGTGTAAAATTTTACAAGAAAAAGTGAAAAGATATCAAAAATAGGATTTACACATTGTAAATAAATAAAAAGATAAAATGAAGAGAAATAGAATTTCGAATTATATTTAAGTAATGCTTAAAATATTTACTTATAAATATATTACTAACTTCATTTTATTGAGGTATATATTTCATCCATCCTTTTAATATTTATTTTATATCATAAAATCTATCTTATCAATCAGTTCAAGTAATGTTAATTCAGATTATCTATTACAGAATGTTGGAAAAAAAGAAAGAGGATATGTGTGTATGTGTATGTGTATGAAAATGATACGTACATTATTGATAAACAAAAGTTAATCAGTCTTGATAAAGTAATGATAACAATATAGACAACATCAGTGATATTAAAGAAGTATGATTTAAATGGCACAGGAAAAGAACGATTAAAATAATGGCATAAAAGAGATTCGTACTGGAATGTTTAGGTACATTTTAAAGCTTAACAGTCCTTATATCAATCAATAATCTTGATATCATCATTCTTGAAGAAATTTGATAGATATGCAAGGATAGAAAGAGGATATGAAACGATGATAGGAATAGATAGTGGATGCAGAATGAAGATATGATAAGATTAGAGGAAAGGAGAAGAAGAAATCCATTTGGAGAGATTATATACTCGAAGAAGATTACAAGGTTAGCTATGATAATTACAAAGTGTGATAAACCAATAACCATTGATTAATAGTTATCAGTATGTATTAGATAGTTTAATTCTAAATAAATTATGTAGTAAATATAAATAATATATATGAATAAATTTTAAAATTAAATTAATCTAATAAGACTATTAAATAACATTAAGTGCTTAAAAATAACATTATTCATTGATTCGATTTATAAATTCATAATTTTTTAGATATTATTTTTTAGGTATTATATTACTCAATAATTTCAATACTTGAAGTTTTCTCTTTTTTTTTTTTCGTTTTTCGGTAATTTGGAATGATTCCAGTAACCATTAAATAAAACACTTTTCCTCATAAACAGCACTTTTGCTTAATTTTCTCTCAGTAATATAATGCATTTTTAGCCGAAGGGAATAGGAAATAATTGGCGTATAACTAAAAAAAGAAAAAAAAAAAAAAAGGAAATGGTAATCCTTTAAAAGCGGAAGCATCGAACAAATATGCGAATTGGAATGAGAATGTTTTTCGTTTAGTAATGATTCCTTTTTTTTTGAAGATCAACCAAATCTTTTATTAAAACATTTCTCAATTTAATCATTAATTAAAATCTTTGTTAGCCAATCAAATAACTGCTAAATTTTAAACTTTTTCTCGTATTTTAATAAGTTTGTTAAAATTAATTAGTCTAAATTATTTCGATAAAATCATAAATGAATGAATAGACGACAACTCACAGACCATATCATTAGCTTCTAGCATTTTAGCATAAAATAACAGATACACTTATCATATGGCAATTAAATTTTTAGTCATAACATAGACGGGAACTAAACTTCAATTACATCTGTCACAGTTAGCCAAGTACACTATGTCATTTTCATTTCTTCGTATAACATTTCTTCCGGAATAAATGTCAACAACAAAAAAAAAAAATCTGGAATTATCAGTTCTGAAAATGCAATTTTTTTCTTTTCTTTTTTTTTTTGATAGAGCTATAGAGGAATAGTTGCCATTAGTACTTAAAATGAATTTTGAAATGATGCACTTTTTTCATATCATATTTGTTGATGAGTTGCCTTATTGAATTATTCTCGGCATTCTCGCCATAATGATTTAGGCCCTCCCTAATAGCTATTTCATTTAATTCGACTAAATCTACGAACCTTTCAACTATCTAACAAGTTCTGAGACTTTCAAATAGTTAGACTAAAAAAAAATAAATAAAAGTAATAAAATCATCAGATCATTTAACAGTGTTTTATTATTTTTTTTTTCATTTTGAACTATTAAAATTCTACACAAAAAAAAAATTTGGTAAATTAATTTCATAAATTTGTAAATTTGCATTAAATCATATGGCAAAACATTTGCTCTGAGCGAAAAGACAGAAAATTTTGTTCTGAATACTTCCGGTAATTTAGTTTAATAATTCGTTACATATCCAAGAATTAACTTCCTGCTAGTTAATTCTCATCCAAAAGCAAAATATCAAAAAAAAAAAAAAAAAAGAAAAACATGCATTGTTTGGAATTCTTAAAATTAATCAAAGATCTCTAATTTTATACTCTTTAATCATAAGACAAAGACTGAAGATGTGTCGAGAAGATTTCCGGTTTCGACAGGAAAAAACGTTTTAAATAACTGATTTTCAGGAAAATTTCCACAGAAGTTACAAATGAACAATGTGTGAAAAAACTTTTTCAGGAAATGCAAAAAGGATCAAAATATATATTGGAAAAAAAAAGAAAGAAACTAAGAGAAACAAATCATATATAAGCCAATTAATTAATGCATATATGCAAATGTATGCTAATCTAAGTCTATGATAAGTTTGCTAATGTAAACAAAAACAAATTTGAAGTAATATGAAAGCGGTAAAAAGTTATTTTAGTCTCTTTCCTTAGAAACTATTAAATAATTCAGCAAAAAGTTTTCGTTTAAATTTTAAGTTAAACTAAAATCTTTAAATGATATAAGGAACTTTTTATCTTAGCGGACATTAAGGCACTGTGATTACTTTTAATTTCACTTCATGTTTCATTAAAATGTTGGCCAAGAAGAGTGGCTAGCAATTATCATTATTCATTGCATTTCAAGAATTTAACTTCGAATCAATTTAAAAAATGTCCACAACATAAAGGAAATTGTTTTATATTTTGTAGTTATAGAAGAAAGGATTTTCATTCCAAATCCATTTTAGGCTAAATAAAATTGAAACAGAAAAGTTTAGTCTAAGTTATTTGCTAGATTTATACCTTTTTAAATTATACACAACATCATACACTTTAAGAAATAATACATATAGGGATAGGTTAAAGAAAGTAATGCTTAAATTTGAAATTAAAAAAAAAAAAAAACTTTAAATCTACTAACGATAAACGAATTATGCTTAAAAGCAATAGTAAATTTTGTTACATTAAAGAATTGTACACTTTC